AAACACCTGGATGAAGTAAAAAAGTGGAGTAAAGTTCCTTATCTAAAGGCGAGGCTTGAACCCTGGACCTCCAGATCTAAAGTTCGAAGTGTTAGCCGCCTCCCCGTGCCTTAAAAGTAATGTTCTTTTATTACACTGACTGTATTAGGTTAAGTTCACACTATAAGGAGGAGCTAACCATACCGGATAGGGCTTCTGTTCCCACATATGAACGGTAATTCTAACAGAGCTAAAGTGGAGGTTTACCGGTCATCTCGCCCCAAGTCATTTCGCCCTGGTTACATAGCCCCTTATTCTAGAACGAGGAATATTACATTTGAAGCGTGCTTGCTTCGGTTTATGGCTTAAGAACTAGGAATGTTACATTTGAAGGGCACTTGTTTTGCTTGCTGGCTTATAGAACAAGGAATATAACATTTGAAGCGCGCTAAATGACTCGAAAATGGGGGTCTAAGTAACCGGGGCGAAATGACCAGAGTCACATATCGGATAGGTTTTTATGCTACATACCGCTTTTCGTGTCAGAACGAAAACCTGTCCGGTATATTGTGATCATAGCCTAAGAGAATTATTTTTGGGTGTTCATGTTCTCAATCACTCGTAACCTTTGAGGTGGTCTCCTTCGCAGTTGCTCGTAGTATTGCGGCCGGAGTCATGCAATGTTCCTTCCCCCTCCCCACGCGTGGGAGCGGGGAACATTGCGTGACTCCCTCCGAGCGGCTGCGAAGTAGGTAACCTTTGAGAAGGTTGTTAGGGAAAATTCAATGTGGTAACCTTACTGAGATAACTCAAAAAGGCAGGAGTACCCAACGACCCGTTTTTGACAAAATGTATCATGCAATGTCGCAAACACTAGCAGAGTATTTCTACATCAATCTATTATAATATTGAACTTTCATGGAGAAAACTATCCGCTCTTCACTGTCAGTGAGCAAGAAGCGCCGAGAACAAATCCAGCTAGTGCCCAGGGCGGAAGTTGAAGTTAGCCGCCTCCGGATTGCAAGTCCAGCGATCAAAATTAATGCCGATAGCGAGCATCACCAGCCTAGTCCCTAGACATTCTCGGCTCGTTCAAACATGGACTCTAGTTCAATTCCTGTCGGAGACTCAGATTTTTTCTTTTTGCCGTGTTCGTGACATGTTAATCACATCATTTCTCATTTCTTCACCGAGCTTCAAAGTTACCATTATTCTTTATTCATTGCGCACATGATGATTTCGACATTGCCATTCCTAGCAGTACGCAGGACGCGTGTCATGACACGAACCTTGTATATGGCCCAGCTCTCCACGAGTCCTTCGAAGCTCAGTGGTTAGAGCATCTGACCAGTGTACAGAAGGCCATTTGTTCAATTCCTGTCGGGGACTCAGATTTTTTCTTTGTCCCATGCTCGCGCGTGTTATGTTGATCACATCATTTCTCATGGACTCTATTGTGAGCCGAGTGAGACCAGCTGTTCTGTCGCCCACATTTTCCCAGACTACACGCGGACAACGGGGCGAGAGAGAACCCCCTGGGGACTTGGCTGGAGTATCACGTGACTAGACGCCACTGAACCTGCATTTTTTTCGTTAATTACAACAGGTGGTGTCCGTGGTGTAGGATTCTTACACAGTCCCCTGTTTACCTATGGGCCGCGTACGGCCATGGAACTTATGCACGTGACCGACTGGCTCCCTACCCTGTATTATGCAGCGGGAGGAAACATTAGTGACCTGCAAAATATTGATGGGGTTAACATGTGGGACGCACTCACTCAAGCCACTGAGTCACCTCGTCAGGTTATTCTTCACAACATCGACCCATTTAGCGGAGCTGCAGCCATAAGATACAGGAACTGGAAACTTCTTGTTAACATATGTGAGCAAACAGAAAATTACATATACAACATATTCTAAAATGGAGGCGATTTTTATTCTTTTGCTTTAATGGTAACTGGCCCTCGATGCCTCGGTTCAAAGTAAAATTTATTTGCATTCTGCAAGTCTAAGCAAGGCAAAGAGGGCTAATTAGCATTAAAATTAAAAGGAAAGTAACCTTGCCACCATTTTGAGATATGGTGTATTTCGTTAAGCCTCCAAATAAGTTTAACCATAGATTGCCTATCTATTTATATGCAATTGTTCTGTTAACAGTGAGGTGATTAATTTATTCCCTCTCTTAGTCATAGACCCCTGGTAATTTCTAAGAGGCTTGGGCCTTGGGGAGCTTTCTTGGTGCTCCAAGAGAGCTTGGGTTGGGGTTACTGCATTCAATTTTATGGCCATTCGGTTTTTAGCGCTGTGACAAACGTACACTGAAGTGATTATAAAATTTTGTCCTATTGTCATCTCACAGCTACAGCTTGGAGTGGATGGTATGCTCCTCCAGGACTCGGCATCTCAAATCAAACTTCCAGAGCTGCGACGTTGAAAAATGCCGCCGTTAGTTGCGGTAAGCCACCCAGCCCCCCAGTCGAATGCACAGAACAGGCAGGTCCTTGCTTGTTTGATGTTGAAGACGACCCTTGCGAGTATGTGAACCAAGCAAAGAACAACCCCGATTTGGTGAACCAAATGTTGCAGCAGCTCGAGAAATTCAAACAAACCATGGTGCCCCCGAGAAACAAGCCATTTGACCCAAAAGCTAATCCTGACAATTTCGGAGGCGTGTGGAGCCCTTGGATGGACTAGGCACTATTTTCTTTTCATCGAAGCATAGTTTTAGAGTACTGGGGTCGTCTTAAAATAATTGACTTTAAACTAAAACTAGCGATAGACGTAAATCAACGGGTAGCAAACTCCCCTATGACATAAGGGTGGATCGAAGGTAGACCTTCGAATCTCTGTGCGCGGGGTGACAGATTTTTAGCAACTCCACTGGTGAATTTAAATTTGTGTGTTTCCACTCCACCGGCGACGCAGCTCCCAGGTTCCTTTTAAATGAAGAATGTAGTTGTTACGTATAGTTTTACGAACGCACAATCAATGCTGTTCAAGTGTAAAACAAGAGGCGTGGCCATCCCCGTTTCACACTTAAAAAGGCGTGTAAAGTAAAGGAAATTTAATTTTGTTGAACGGATTCAAAATCGTCTGATGTAGATCTTTTCATTCTTGCACTTAAAGTTGGGGCCCGTCAGATTTAGAGGTACTCATGACACATGTGAATTATTAGGGAGTTTGTGAAGCACAGATCGTAGGTAATGGTAACTTAGCTGTTCTGAATTGCACATGTAAGCCTTTGGTTTAAATGTTGTGATTTTTATTTAAAAAAAATTTTCAAGACTGATACCTAGAGTTCTACAACCAGCCTTTGTTTAAATTATTTCAGTGCTGTGTTTTGTTATTATGGTTTGTTTGTTTGATTGTTATTCGATTCTATCTCGGTTCAAAGTAGCCAGCGCCAAGCGCGAGACAATTAGAAAGGTAATCTCCGTATGTCTATCAGAACGATTAATAGTGCTACACGTTTTGATATTAGGCTGATTTAGCAACAGAAAGGGAACGTTAGTTGACGGCGGGAAAGCGCGCGGAAAGGATTAAACACGACTTCCGATGCTCAATTTGCCGCTCTGACATTGGTCAAGCCAGTTGCTTGATTTGCGCACGCCGTCATCAACTGACGTTCCCGTCCTGTCGCTAAATCAGCCTAATAGTCCACCTGAACGATTTTAGCCCTCGTAACAGGCGCTTATGAGCCAAGCGGGGTGAGGGGAAAGAAGGGTAGGATAAGCCTTCATTCTCCTTATCCTTATAGCGTAGTCCCATTGCAATAGAAACTAGAAAGCTATCGATGCGAGAAAATGTGAGTAGTCTTGACGTCCGCGTTATTCCGGCCGTCCGTGCAGACGCAGGGGGAGGGGGGATGAGCCTTACCTTAGCAAGGGAGAGAAAAGGGAGGCGACCAATGGCGTTGCTCCGGTAAAAACCTTGCAGTGTTTTTCAAAGTATTTGACTTGAAAGTTTTGCTTTCTGCTTGGTCAGACTAGGACAAATAACCGGAGTTCCTGTTTTGAGTTGTTTAAAGTTCGCGCCCCTGACAAACGCTTAAGAAAACGACTCAAGGCGCCACGGAATCATAGACTTTCTGAAAGTCCTTGTATTTATGTATTTTTTAATTTTTTTTTTTGTTTTAATGAAACTTTACGTTGCGCGTACATTTTCCAGTTGCTTTAAAACAATTGAAGAGAGGGAGCACCCTCGAAACGCCTGGTTTCCCTCCTTTTTCAACGTTGATAAGAGCGAGCTGGTTTTGGAACTAAAGTTCTGGAGGTAAGAGCACCAAATGAATCGGTATGGTCCATTATATTTCTGGCTAGCCAGGAACGGGCAGAGTGCCAAAAAAGTTTAGGTGTTCACATAGTGGAGTAGCTTGAATTTCAGACGATTACTTCGAGTCGTTTTGACTCCCTCCGTAACGTCTGAATCTCCTTTCAGGAGAGATCAGGAAGAGACGTCTAGCATTCTTGACACCAGAGCTTGAGTCGCAAAAAAAGCAGAGCTCTGGTGACACAGGGCGCAGAGAAATTATTCGTGGTCTTGACTCCAGTGAAATTTAGCCTGGGACGAGGCTCTGCGATGGGAAAAGCGCAAAAAACGGCATGAAGCTCGGCTCGCTTAGCTCGCTGAATTTTTTTTTTTGCCCTTTCGATTTTTCTTTTTTCACCTGTTTTTTTCCACTGCGGAGCCTGCAGCCAGATTAAGTTAAATTTTGCAGTTGATAACGCGCATCAGGCAAATCGCCGATTGACCGATCAAACCATCATGTGATAGTGTTGAAAATCTGGTAAAATACTATCCCATACTCCGGAAAACCGCTGAACGCAATGACTACGTCATTTTTGTCAGTTCAACAAACAATATTGGTGGTAAAAAAACTATACTAAAAACGAGTCGCTAACTGTCCATATGAAGTTACACAATACAAAATCAACAGCGACGAGAAGTCCTTAGCAGATCCTCAAGGAAGTATTCAGAAGGAGGTAATGCTTGGAATTTCTCATGATAACACAACACGAAGATAAGAAAACAAGGTTTATTCAACTTGCCACTTGCCAATACACTGCAAAACAACCTTTTATACTAATGACAAAATTAAAATTCTGAAATGAATTTTCTCTGAGACCACCTGACAAGGAGGTAAGGAGGATTCTTGAAGGACAACTCTTCAATTGCTTAAGAAATCTTCAGGCCAGCGATGGAAGATTCCAGGGACTGCAACAAACAATGAACAATGTGTTGTTCGCATTAAAAAGAAATAAAATATATACGTCGAGTAGGTTGAGTATGATCGTCCAGGTGAACGTAGTCCTGAATAGGAATAATGTTGACAATGACGGTGACGTTTCGACAACCTGTGCGGGAGTCATCTTCAGAGACAAAGTAAGTTGTATCACGTTACTTGATGGTATTAAACTCTGGTTATTGACCTGATTGGTCAATTAAGGTGCAATGTTATAAGTCGTCTGTCAGAAAGCTCTTGAATTCTACCTGTTTCGGTAGTAACAAAATAATCACAATTCGGAAGGACTGCCAGTATAGGTCATTTAATTCGATTATTCGCTATTCGATGATCATGAAGACCTAGAAACAAGCCGTGAAATAGTTAAGTTAAAAATAGCAATATACATGATCCTTTAACAGCATTTTATACCTTAACATCCCAGACTACAATGCGGCCATCAACACCTGAAGTCGTAAACTTTGTAGCAGCTGATTTAGATCCAGCAGAGATCTGCACTTGACTACGAGAAGAAAAGAAGACATCAAATTTACATTTTAATACGCAAATGTAACAACTGCGTGATGGGAAATCTGAAATCCTCACACAATACAACTATTAATATTATCTAGTTTTGCATAACTGAGTCTTGTCTTGTTTGCTATGTTAAAAAGAAAGCAAAAAGACCGTTTTCCTGCACAAAAAATAAGGTAAATGAATGACACGGCTCCTTCGAGGCAGAATAAAAATCAATTTTAAAAGGGATGCCATCACTGGTTTCCCCGCATGACGCTTGAGAAATGAGCGCATAAATTCCATGCTGATGATGCATCACAACCCAGATCTACGTAGTGCTTCTGATTGGTCGCACCGTGTGGGAAATTTGCTTCAACCAATCAGAAGCACTACCGAGATCTGGGAAGTTACGGGAAATTTGGAATTTCTGCGCTCGATCCTCAGACATCACTTCGCAGGGAAACTAGTAGTGGCATCACAACACGTCGCATGGATCGTTTTTTTCAGGCTATGACTACGACAGACGACTGGCAACTGTTCAAGACAAGGTCTACATTACCAACAGTTTCATCAATATAAGAAGCAGGGTGGAAAGCAAGTCAGTTCTACAGCTTGTCACTGGGGTAAGCTGTAGCTAGCATGTACAAGCCTATTTTCTTTTTGTAAAGCAGGATTGATAATTGATTTATTATTATTTATTAATCAATAGTACCATTTTAGTTATTTAATTACCTGATTATTAATGCACGGTAATAATACGTTGTAATAATTAATTTTCATTTTGTCAGATCAGCATAAAAACAGCTTTCGGATTTCTAAGGAATTAAAAAATTTTTCGTCCTACAGGATGTACTTCAATCAGGTAATTTATTTAAATTCCCCTCCACAAAAAACTTAACTTGCCCTAAACAGAATTCAAAAGCCAAATCACAAAACTCCACCGGCCCCATGCTAAGACCCAACTTTGTTTGCACGCTGTGAAGACGAGGAAGAAGGATAATCATGGCCACTAAAACAGCGAAAAAATGTACTCACGTGATGGCATTCTGGTGAGTGGTCTTAACACCTGCATCAGCAGCACTATCATCAGCACTCTGTGCCTGTTTATCCAGAGTACGGAACTTGGCCATGGCACTGACTGTTCCTGTGGATTCCTTCTTTTTAGGCACATCAAGCTTCTGTCCCATGGTCAAACTATCACTATCATCATGACTGAACAATACTGGGACATAATCGTAGCCTGAAGCAATAAAAAATAAGACACTCAGTGACAAGGCTCCATCTCCACCGCTCCCTCTCTCCTTCTCCTCTGTTCGGGGGAGGGGTTTAGGCTGGAATTATGACATGTAATAATTAAACAAAGAAACAAAACAATAGTTAAAAGTGTAAGGTTCTACGGGAAAAGTATGGCAAGACATGAACAAGCCATGAAGTCATTTTCAATGTAAACAGTACATGCCATACAAACTACAAACATCTCAAGAAATTCATGCGAAATTTCGAAAGTGTATTTCACTTTATAAGATCAGCTAGTTAATGCTATAAGCCTGCTCCACGGTTTCAGAGAGTCGCAGGGTATTCATTAATTAGGCATCAGAGATCGGAGAATTCTCTCTTATTGGGCAGAATTTTTCACCTAACGTTCGATAGCCTATGAATATTTTTTATTCAGATGAGGAGCCCCTTTCAAAATATTTCTCTTGTAACATTACACCTTAAACCTGCTGGTAGAATTCTTCATGAAAACCCTTGATCAGTAGGGAACACCAAAGAATAAAAAATTCCCTCAACATTTAGAATAGGGAAAGATGCCTTGAGAGTCTGGCATTCCCTACATTGATTGAAATGCTGAGACATACGTCATTTTATTTTTACACTGCTAAACACCAAACAGGCCACCTTGTACTTGTAAAGAACCTTGAAGACAGGCCAGAAAGTTGTGCAAAATATGACTAAAGTTTCTAAATGTGTCTGTTGTGTTCTCTACAAGAGGAATTCAACCATTACCAGCAGTGATGATGCTGTTTTCACTGGCCCATACACAAGCCATAAAAGGCAAGAAATCTCCTTTGATGGTAGCCATTTTGTTGTCATTAGCAGCATTCACAACACTTATACTGGAGTCATGTCCAACCCAGGCCAGCTTGTTTCCTGATGCTGAAAAACTTACCCCATGCACCCAGCCTCCTGAAATTCAAAGTTGACAACTTTGAGCGTCACAAAACCAAAATAATGATTGATGGAAACCACTTATTTTGTTTTTTTTTTAAAAAACTTAACCTTGGCTTTTGATCTTACAGTCAAACCAAGTCAAGCGTACCCCCCAAGATTCTATCAGTGAATTGATTATTTGAAAAATGAATCCGTTAGTAGTTCCCGTAACTGGTGTCAAATTCAAAGCGGCATTTTTGCATGTGTAATGAGTAGTGAACATTTTACGATAACTTCTCTGTATTTGGTCAGATTGGAAATCTTTGAATGGATTAAGCTTGTTAGAAGACATTTACATCAATTTCAGGAAAATGGAGCTTGTAGAAATTTCATAACTGCCTCGAGTGTGAATTCACGGCTCATTCCACATACAAGAATGCAGAGATCAATCTGAAATCTACAACTAGCAACGGATTCAACTTTTGAATAATAAATTCATTAATGCATTCTTGGGGGGTACGCTTGACCTGGTTTGACTGTAAGTGATGGTGTAATTTTGCACATTCAGTCTAAAATCCCATCCAATCACAAAATCCACAAGAAATCTAACAGTGGACAAAAAAAAAATGGAAAACCTGGGAAAATATTGGCATAAGAACTTTTGGGAACTACAGCTAGCTAACTACAGTGGTGCACGTTCTTTTACTTTTAGCTACAATAACTTGAACTAAGCAATCAATATTCTTGTATGAGCCTACCTACTACTTGATAAAAGACAGTTACTTAAAAACATAATCATTATTCCTGTGTCTTGTCATATTACTCCTTCTTTAAAGCCTCCAAAGACTATAATAATAATGGCTGTGGTTTGATTTATTTATCTAAAATACCTCTGCCATTGGAAAACTCAGACAAACAAGAACCAAAGCTAGACTTCTTGCCCCAGATAGTATCTGTGTTGGTCTTTCCGTCAACTTCCTTGATGAATGCAGAGAACACTCTGTGGGGGTAAAGAAAATTAACATAATGATAAAATAATAGAATGGTGAACATAATATAGCTGTACAGCAAAACATGCATACAGACGCATATCTGTGGACGATGTAATCAGGGGGGAAAACTCATGAATTCCTTTAGACAACAACTTTTGGTCCACTGTCGTCTAGAAAAAGAGTTCAGTAAATTTGTTTGTCCGACTCGCCAACTACGTAAAGCTTAAGCCTAAGACTTTCTTACAATAAAAGTCCCTTAAAACAAAAACACCAAATTTTATTCATGAACTGATAGAGGCAGGGGGGTCATGTACTGCAATTTTGAAAGTGAATTTAATATACCAGTACAAGTAATAATACCAGTATGAGTACACTGTACATTATTATTACAGCATAATTCTTTAGCCTTCTTAACACATGGTTTTGCAAATTCGCCAAATTTGGTGTATTTTACACCAACTGTTGTAGTTAATTTTTTATCTCAGGTACAGGGTTTTCACTAAGATTTCAAGTTGCCGGGTAAATACAACAAGTAGGTGGGAAATCAAACGGCTAGGGATTTCTTTTGGTTCTATTTTTGTTCTATTTTCCAATAAAAGTAGCCGGGGGCCACTATCTTAGTACCAGGGGAAAATCCCCCGCCCCCGGCTCTTAATGACAACCCTGCAGGTAATTAATTTTTTGCTTTTCTTTTGTTTTTGGGTATGGTAATCTATGCTAATGAGGCTAGAACAAATGAAAAATAAAAATTACCTGAGACAAAAAATTAACTACAATAACTCCACTGAGGTTATGGAGGGGGTCACTTCGACTCCAGAAATGTTTGGTTACAAAATAGCTTTTCCTTTCCTTTTTCAAAACAAATACAATCTACATGTAACTCCAAACATTGTAAACCTGATTAATTTTAACCCACCTAAAGTGAAGTGCACGTGTGTACAAGTAGAGGCTAAATTACAAGNGTGGTTTGATTTATTTATCTAAAATACCTCTGCCATTGGAAAACTCAGACAAACAAGAACCAAAGCTAGACTTCTTGCCCCAGATAGTATCTGTGTTGGTCTTTCCGTCAACTTCCTTGATGAATGCAGAGAACACTCTGTGGGGGTAAAGAAAATTAATGATAAAATAATAGAATAGTGAACATAATATAGCTGTACAGCAAAACATGCATACAGACGCATATCTGTGGACGATGCAATCAGAGGGAAAACTAGTGAATTCCTTTAGACAACAACTTTTGGTCCACTGTCATCTAGAAAAAGAGTTCAGTAAATTTGTTTGTCCAACTCACCAACTACGTAAAGCTTAAGCCTAAGACTTTCTTACAAATTAAAAGTCCCTTAAAAAAAACACCAAATTTTATTCATGAACTGATAGATGCAGGGGGTCATGTACTGCAATTTTGAAAGTGAATTTAATATACCAGTGCAAGTAATAATACCAGTATGAGTACACTGTACATTATTATTACAGCATAATTCTTTAGCCTTCTTAACACATGGTTTTGCAAATTCGCCAAATTTGGTGTATTTTACACCAACTATTGTAGTTAATTTTTTATCTCAGGTAATTAATTTTTTGCTTTTCTTTTGTTTTTGGGTATGGTAATCTATGCTAATGAGGCTGGAACAAATGAAAAATAAAAATTACCTGAGACAAAAAATTAACTACAATTACTCCACTGAGGTTATGGAGGGGGTCACTTTGACTCCAGAAATGTTTGGTTGCAAAATAGCTTTTCCTTTCCTTTTTCAAAACAAATACAATCTACATGTAACTCCAAACATTGTAAACCTGATTAATTTTAACCCACCTAAAGTGAAGTGCACGTGTGTACAAGTAGAGGCTAAATTACAAGAAATTACTCGCATGATGATCATCGTGGATTGGAGCCTTTTGAAATCAGCGGACTCTCAAATGAGACTGTGGCTACTTCATGTTCCATCATGATAGCGTGAACCAAATTTGTGAACCAGAAGTCATATTGACTTTACCAATCAAGAAACATTTGCAAACCCAGCTTAATAGGTACTGAAATGTATCATCCCCGGAGGAGGACATTTAAGTTTATATAATATCTATTTAATGGAGTTGAAGTCTCTTTATTTCAGCCACAGATCAAAATACAAATAAACTAATACTACCTGGTCTTGAAATCAGAAGAACCAGCCGCCAGTAGCAAGTTGTTAGGATGCCAGTCAAGGCTGCAGGAAATATGATTAAACCAATGTTAGACAAACTTTCCACTGTGAACAGGGCTGTGTTCTAGCGACACCCAGAGACCCTCATATGAGGACCAGTTGCATAAAACCTGATGCAAGACAATTAACTGCTCATGTGTGGCAGCGTTTGCATGGGCTGAACGTCAGGTTTTAGCCATTACATTCCACATGAAGATTCACTCAACCGCAGGTCCAGGTCCATTTAGCTTACTGCTCACTGATTTTTTTTTCTTTTTTTAAATCTAGCCTGCCAGCAAGCTCTCCATTTAGAGGAATAACAAGAAGTCACACAAGAGCAGCACATGATGACACAAGTGCAAGAGGCAGGGAATGAAAAAGTAGCTTGCAACTATCTCTTGTGAATTTTTATTTCCACCCCAGAAACCGCAGTAAACTGCACATAATTAACTGTTAACTGAATTAATGTGTTAGCTACTATTCTGTTACCCTCATCAGGCCAAATGCGCCAGTTACACTAGCGCTCCAAAAAGAGCAAAATATTACAATTTTGTACTAAGAAAACACCACTACAAGATGATAATTGGTCTGGACCTTCTAGTCTGGATCATAGCCTATCAACTCAGTCAGATCTACAATAGCCCTTGAATTCAGTGGAGTTGTGTCACTTCATGGATGCTGTATTCTATTTATACTCCAACTTCATCCGAGAAATCTCATTCGTTACTTTTCCCTGTTTCACAAACATTTATGTTTTACTGAAATATATTTTTTTTCATTCCATGAGCAGACTGATCTTCAAGGTATCCACTTGAAAATGACATCAACTGTTTTCGTTGTGGGGAAACTCACAGACACAAGAAACGCGGTCAGATTTAAAATAGTATTGTAATATATTTCCCTTGCAACTCCTCAGCCTTCTGATTCGCTGGTTTATATGGGCTTGAGATCCTAAATGACCCATAAAATAAAAAAACACACAGTCCACAGTGTTCAGACAAAAAGAGAGAGCGCCCTTACTTCATCGCCCAATAATTTTCCTCTGAAAAAGGAGTATGTTATCTTGATTTCCAAAGCATCGTGTTGCTAAGTTTATGGCAAGGAATGTTATCAATCAAAATTCATCGACAGTGTGTCACTTTTCTGCCAATGGTGCTTCACTTTGTCTGGGTGAAGCAGAAATGAAAATTTATGAGAGATCGTTGCAAGCTCTCCTTTTCCTCCACCCCTTGCAGCTTCACCACTCGCTCATGTGTTCTCTCACGGCTTGCTTTGCTCTCTTGCAGCTCACTTCACTTGCAATAATTGGAGAGCTTACTCACAGGCTTATAAAAATCATATACATTGTGTTCCTTGGATTGAACTACTTCAGTGCACTGGGCTTTATTCAATTTTTCTTAGAGCACAGCATACGTGAACCAAAGTCATCAGCCAGGCAAATAACTTTTAATGATTAAAACTTGACTGCATATACACAGAAAATACTGAGAATATTTAAGAGAAATTTACCACAGCACAGTTGAGCGAATTGGCTTCTTGATATGCTTGCTGACCCACCTAAAACAAAATGAGAGTGATTTTTTTATAAAACTCTACCAAAACCAGCACTGAAAGTTAATTTGCACTTGAACCAGTCACTTACCAATCATTTTCCTTTTCAAAGTAGCAGACAGAGATCAGGCGGGCACTGCTTCCTACGGCAAACTTGTCCTCTGAAGAGTAAAAATGTAATGAAAAGGAATGCATAAGTTCTACATTTTGTAGGAATTGATTGGAGAGAAACCTCATGAATTTGAACTCTTGTTGAAAGCAAGAGCTGGCGACAGTTTCACTTTCACAAAACGGTTTGCGCTAAAGTTCAATATATATCCTGACAATGACAAAACAATATTCTTATGAGCTATTAACTGGCATGTTAATTGACCCAATAGTGTTACAGTTTGTTAGTAAATTTTTGCCCAAATTATTACAACAACATGTAAAGGAACATCAAACCACAGCTTTTGTGGAAATCAGATTTTTTTCAAGTTAGCGGTGAGTGTAAGGTATGATTTCAAGTTTATGGGTATTGCTGTGCTAGATTAATCAGAATGATGTTCCCATGTTTTTCTCACCTTTTGGTGACCAAGAAACACAGGTTGCAGCACGATTGATACGCAAAATAACAAGCATTGGCTTCCAGTGGCCATCTTGAAAGTTCCAAACATAAGCATTTCTGTCCTTTGAAAAAATTAAGCAAATAAATGAACACTATTAAGGGCAACATGCCAAGAGCCTTATTAGGTTCACACAACAGTCACCACTTCCTTATATCTTCCTTTCAACATTATTGAAGCTAAAAATAAATAAATAAATAATAATAATAATAATGAATAACAACAAAACTTTACAGAACACCTCCAGGGAAGTAGCCAAGGAAAAGCTAAGTATTTTAGTAGTCTAGCCAGCAATAAGAGCCAGTGGTGCACTTACTTTCAGCCAATGAAATTCAACAGTAACTTCCTCTTAGCTACATCCCTGCCACTTTCAAAAATAACAGCTGACATTACAATATTGTATTGCCCAGATTAGCACTGAAAAGAGTACTAACCTCTTACAATCAAGCCAGGTGAAGTGTAGCCCCCAAGATCCCATTAATAATCCATTACTCGAAAGTTGAATCTGTCGGTGTTTGTAGATTTCAGATTCATCTAGACGCTGCATTCTTGCATGCGTGAGCTGTGAATTCACATGCAAGGCAGTGATGCAATTTGTACCAGCTCAGTTTCCCTGAATTGACGTAAATGTATTTGAAGCAAGTTTATCCATTTAAAGATTTTCAATCTGACCAAACACAGAGAAGTTCTCGTTAAATATTCATTGCTCATTAAGCATGGAGGAAGTTATGGGAACAATTAACAGATTCATTTTTCAAATAATCAATTCATTAATAGAATCTTGGGGGGTACACTTCACATTGACAATAAAGAACTGTCTTCATTGTGTACTTACTGCTCCACAAGTCACAAGCCTATTGCTGTTTGGGCCCCAAGCCATTCCAGTGACACGCTGACCATGCTGAACAATGTATAATGCATGTAAAATATTAGTATTCTTATTACAAAGGGTGCTGAACAATGTATTACGCATGTGAAATATTAATATTCTTATTGCGAAGGTTATAAAAACAAACAAACAAACAAAATGGTTTTACATGTACTGGTTGCATGTAGAGCTGCACAAGTGGAACAGATTGACCTTTTTTTCTACTCAGAATGTTATTTACAAAGGCACAAAATAATATTCGTCCAGCCACCCTTTCCCTCTCCAGCCCCCAGGTTTGGTTGGTAACTTTATAATGGTTACATGCGACGGAAAGGTTATGACAAATTCCATACCTTACCAGCAGCCACAACATGCTTAAAATTTGTCAGCTTCTTTGGAGAAAGAATCTTAAGGCCCGGTTCAGACACTGAACTTTTTATGAGCCAAACCTAATACACTGGATTAGGTACATGCAAAGTTGGGCATCTGAATCAATAATATTTATTAGGAAGCCTGTTTCAATTTGGAACGGCTTTCTTTTTACCTAGCCCGGCCAGAAATTTTGCCTTTGGACCGCCTTTGGAACAGCTTTGATTCAGATGCAGAACTTTTCCTGTACCGAACCTAATGCATATAAATTATTATAACGTATTTTGTAAGCAGTTTGACCAAAATGAGTATTTTTCGCCATTTGAGCTTAGGTCAACTGCAATTAAGATCGGCGTCTGAATCAGTTCAGCTGGTCTAAATATTTTGGATCGACCTTAATTCGAATCAGGTTCGGCTCCTGGAAAGTTCGGCGTCTGAACCGGGCCTAAGGCCCAATTTCCTTCAATTTGCCACACTGGAGGGGTTGGGGTGAAGATAAAAAATGGGAGGTCCCCATATTACTGCTTTTAGATAAAAATTTTAACTAATTGCCTGGCTTACTCTACTACCGCCCTCACCTCAGTCAAGACAGAACCTTTGTCCCATTTGTTGCCGGCCTTCTTGTGAATATGAACAGTGTTGTCGTTTGGAGAGAAGGCAATTTCTGTCAGACCAAAGAAGTATATTACAAACTATACACAACATAATAATAATCAAAATTTGAGTTCCTGTTAAAGTTTAAGTACTACATTATATATATCGACGAGCCAATATTACCCCTGATCAGTTTCACGTTTCCTCGTCATGAACTGAACGTATAAACGGAAGTAAAAATGTCCGAAGACAAAACTTACGACTGCAGTCCTTATTGAAGGCAAAACAAGTGATTGGTCGAATGGAAAGTTCGTAAACCTCCTTTCCCGACATCTCCAATCAATAGGAAGAACTTCTTAACGCAAAAAAGCGATAATCTCGACGATAATTACTGCGGACTCTGGGCAGTCTACACAGCAAAATGGCGTCCACGAACTGTTTCCGCCTCCATCAAGGGGTGTGGCCTTTAAAAATATATCGCTATCTTTGATTGGTTTTGCAGTGTCGAGAATGACCAATCACAACAAGGTTTAGATAAACACGCAGTTTTGTGTTCGTGTATGGAATAACATTGTGTCTCGTCGACCACAGTCCTCGATGCGTGCTTTCTGCGGAGCGTTTATAGTAAGTCGACCAGGGTCAGTGCTATGGCTCATGCAGCTGTTGAACCTCCAAAGTATATTGATGGATTTCGGATAAAACAGTTCCTTAAATATGAAGATCTTATACCCGTTATTGAAGAGGCTTTATTGAATTTTTCTGCCCGTGAGAGCGGTGGGATTGTCCAGCCCGTGCGCTCTTCGGTGGCTGTAGAAGACCGTGGGTATGCATGCAATAATTTATTTGTACTTACTTCAGAAGTTATTGTTGGTTACGTTTCTGTTTATATAAATGCATCGACAATCTTCCAAAAATCTTTTGTCAAAAATTTAACACAAAGGATTCCCGGGGGGACTCGGCATAGGAAAGGGGTGGGGATGCTCGTCGTCTCGCTTAGGGGTGTAAATTTCGGATTTTGGTCTCACCTAGGGTGTTCTGGGCAAAACGCCACCAAATTTAGCCGTGAAGGTCTCGTTTAGAGTTGAACGCGAAAAAACATGAAAATATATATTTGATATGCATATTTTTTTGGTCTTTTTTAGGGGTCAAAAAAAGCTTGAGCCACGCCCAAATCGGTCTCTTATAGGGATTTAATTCAAACTTTCCAATGAGTATCCCCACCCCTTTAAAATGCGGAGTCCCCCCCGGAAAGGATTTAAATAATAAATGATCAGCCATCAGTTGCACACTTATTATCTCCACCCCCAGTAAAAATTTTATAGGACAGTCCATTTTTAAGCTGCCTCCGCCCCCACTGAGGGAAGGCATTTTTCAGTGGGGACTGAATCGAATCTGTTGGAATCTCGAATTTGGGCTGGATTTTTCCTTGCATTGGAGCTGTAGCCTGACATGCAAAAATTCCCCCTCCAGTGCCCCTTCACTGATTTTTTTGGAGGGGAAGGGACGGCTATACACAGGCTAGGGAGCTGTTGATAGTCCCTAATTCCTTTATCAATGATGTGTTAATTAAGTCAAGTTATATTAGTTAAACTGGGCTTCAACTGACCAAATCCGTAGTTCTAATGAGAACTAAACTTACTGGGGAACCTCTTAAAAGAACAACAAGTTTCGTTTACTTAACACACATTTAGCACACTGAGACAATAGTCTGCATAATTTGTAGCATTGATTTGTTACTCATGACCTAGATAGGCTAGAACTTGATTTAGATTACAGACTGTCTGTGATGCAGGCTATGAGCGACATTACTGGTCAGAAATATTATTATCATATCTTTTCCACTTCAGCTTTTTTCTAGTTATGCCTGCTTATTCAGCTAAAGACAATGCTCTTGCTGTGAAACTGGTAACAGTTTTTCCAGAGAATAGTGAGCAAGGCCAGCTACCAGCAATTATGGCAAATGTCATGGTGTTTGACTCAAAAAATGGTTTGCTTAAAGCAGTGAGTTTTTTCTTTCTTTTTTTATTAACCGAATTTTGTTCAATGACGTAGCAAGACCCTTGCTATTTTTTTCTTCAACTTTAGTGGCCATTCCATGAGATGATTTTAACCTATCGTTTTAATATGTTATGTATTTATTGGCAAGATCATGGATGGAGTTGTGATCACAGATATGAGGACCGCCGCAGCATCTGCTGTCGCTACCAAGGTATAGATAGACAGACGCATGTACCTCAGGTATCTGATTGAACATCAGCTTTGTAACAAATGTGTTTTAAACTCTCCCTGCTCATGGGAGTCTCCTGTCTTTTGTGCATCAAAAGCTTACAAAATCTCTAGGTTTAAGTTGACTCTTTTAATGCTTTGCTTTTTCAAAGTTTTCCAAAATCTCACTGAATGCAATTATTATTATTATTATTATTATTATTATTATTATTATTATTATTATTAATGATAATAAACTTATCCACATTATTAGAATCAGAGGGGCGGATCCAGGATTTTTTTTAGGAGGGGGTGCACTCGTCTCTTGCTCTACTTCAACACCAATAAACAACATAGTTTTTTTGCAGAATACCAGTTGTATTAGAAAACCGATGGTCATCTCAGGAGGGGGGGTGCACACCCCCTGCACCCTCCCCTAGATCCCCCCCTGAATCAGTGCATTGACATTTATGGTATCCACTGGGACTTTTGACTTAATTTTTTTATAACTCTATGTGATTTCTTGGAACTTTGAATTGGGAAGGGGTTTTGCTGGAGTTTTGTTTTGATATTGACGTTTTCTTTTTATTAATATTTTACTGATGTTTTGTGGGCAGCTTTTTTTAAGATTTTAATAAAGTATATTGATTATTATTATTATTATTATTATTATTATTATTATTATTATTACTATTGTTGTTGTTGTTGTTGTGTTGTTGTTGTTGTTATAGTACAGTTTTTCAGGGGCAGTATTTTCATATGTCACCAGTCAGCCCTTTAAAATAATTTGGGGCTGTCGAGAACTTGAAATCATGTGGAATCGTCATAGATAGTGTGACTAATATTGGTTGGTAGGGTGGGCTTACAAAGGGGTAGGAAAACTGTTATTTAACTCATTAATGATAGTCAATTCAATAAATGCTAGTATGATATGCTCCACATTTATGTTTCATTTTTTTTCTAAATTATAGTACCTTGCTGCAAAGGATGCTAAAGTGTTGTGTATTTTAGGGTCTGGGGCCCAGGCCAGAAGTCATGCCCAGGCGCTTAAGCTTGTCAGACCCTTCTCTGAGGTACATGCTAAGTTGACACTCTCTCTGAATAGTGAGGCTGGACACGTTTTAGGTTGAAAACATAGAGGATTATTATATCGCTGCATGGGGATTTGAAATTTCTCTTTGAGTTTTGAAAAATATTACACTTGTTCACTGCCCTCACCCATGAACTATTATTGAATACAAGGAGAGAAATTTTGTATGTCCAAGTGGCCATGTAATGTTCTATTTATATTATCTAAAGACCAACGAAAATATCAAATCATTTCAGTAATTAATTGATATTTTCTTCTACCAGCATGTCAATCATTGTTGTAAAAAGTGAAAAAAAAAATTATACTATTTTAGTTAAATATGGCTATTCCAGACAAAATCTTACTTTGCCCATAGATATAAAAATTATCAAAGTTTTAGCAAAGCCAAGTAAAATAGGCCATATATGCTTTGGCCGGTAGAAAATCAGTCCTCTATAGTCTCTTTGTATAAAACCATGACTGAATTAGGCTTTTAAGATTGCCATTGACTTTATATTCTTTCAAGGTTAGAGTATGGAGTAGAACATTTGCCAATGCACAAAAGTTTGCAAATGAAATTGGTGCAAAAGCTTGTTCAACAGTGGAGGAGGCAGCGTCAGGTGCTGATGTCATTGTGACTGCTACCATGGCAACCACTCCCATTCTTTGTGGAAAATGGGTCAAACCTGGAGCTTTGATCGACGGTGAGCCTAATTTGAGATTGATCACCATCTTAATACTATGTTTTTCTTGCTCGGCTGAGCTTGCAAAAGAGGCAAGAAATGATCGAAGTTCTCTCGCACCGAATGGAAACTGGGAACGAGTTACATTTTAAGGTGTCAATTTTTGTGTTCAAGTGATCGAGTTTTTGTTCCTTGTCGTACAGTGCAACAGTTTTTCCCACCTTCTTGCCCTTTGATAGTTAAAAAAAAACGTATGTGTTAGTTTGACATTAATGTATCAGGTAGGTTCAGAAAGGTTTTCTTTTTCTTTTTTTTTTTTCCTTCGTCTGTTAAAAATATAATTAGCATTATTTTTGTGATAGTTGTGATTAAAGAGCTTTTGCAAGGTCACGTGGCTGACCAAAGGCATTCAGTGTGTGAGAACAAAATAATATAGATCACTTGAGAAGGTTTTGAGGGATTGATCTCTCTTTAAATGCTCTTGCATCGTATTCGCTAAGGAATTTAAGACATGAAAGGTAGCTTAACTGGGCGTAGTTATTTCATGCTACAGAAAANTTTTTTTTTTTCCTTCGTCTGTTAAAAATATAATTAGCATTATTTTTGTGATAGTTGTGATTAAAGAGCTTTTGCAAGGTCACGTGGCTGACCAAAGGCATTCAGTGTGTGAGAACAAAATAATATAGATCACTTGAGAAGGTTTTGAGGGATTGATCTCTCTTTAAATGCTCTTGCATCGTATTCGCTAAGGAATTTAAGACATGAAAGGTAGCTTAACTGGGCGTAGTTATTTCATGCTACAGAAAAAACGTCTTGTCATGCATCTTAAAGGCCTGTTTCCATGGGTGATTTTTTGCGCAACTTTAACTCCAGTTTTTATACCATCTTGAGTGTTATTTCTTAAACTATCGGCAATCGTTTTTCTTCATCTTGGCGATTTGTCCTTGCGAGATCACCTTTTAGTGTTACCAACCTGCTCAAATTGTGATGAGTAGCCAAAAAATCCCACCTTGGATCTTGTGGCAGATAAGTGTTTCAGTCCATCAGACCTGCTTTAGTGTAACCCTAGCCCGCCTCGCAGACGGAATCCAACTCCGGTAAGTAACGTCTGCCAAGCAGCGCAGATATCATTGTTCTGGGCCCCCAACGGACTCAACGAATTACCGGAAATGCGTTTCGAATTTCCCTTCAAGCTGATTGGCAAATTGACGATAGCTTTTTTAACAGGCCAATCATGGCACGTACTCAAATCCTGGTACATAGGTTGGGGGACCAGATCAAGGATTTCGGCGCTGTTTCGCAGACGGGTTTAACAGAAGTTAACTTCCGTCTGTGGCGTAGGCTATGTAACCCTTGCATCGTAGAGATTGCAAAAATAGCTATGTAATTGCCAGAAAATCGCCAGAAATCCTCTCTCCTGCTCAGCCCACGTGAAAAAGGGGGAGAGAATAATTGCCTCGATCGCCGTTAAAGTAATACCTTTTTGTTTAACCGATTATGAACGGGCTTGCTAGGATTCAACAAGTAAGACTCCGTTAATACGGAGAAAACTTGTCTCGAGTAAAAGGGTCACTCGGCGCCGCAGTTGTCCCTTTCGTAAACAGTCGCTGCCATTTTTAAGACACAAATTTTGCCGAACCTGTTATTGAGAGTGTTTCTATTAAGAGAAAGAAAATACAATCCACCCTGGGGTTGAACCTGGACCTTTCGTATCCTAATCTTTCTCCCATACTACTACGCCGACCCACCAAAATTCCGAAGAATTTAAGTACATACACAAGCAAACTGTCTTTATCGCATCAATAACAAGTGACCCTAGTCCTTTTCATAACTTTTAACGGAAATTCAACCTGGGCTTCACGTCGCCTGTCTTCATAAGACTATTCAAAACGTATTATTTGCCTCATTGTAATTTGATCCTAGGAATATACTACATCTATCGTCACTAAATGCTTGGTTACCAATCGTGGTATCGACCGTTTACGAAAGGGAAATAAGCATCGTCGCCTACCCGAGCTTCTCTGGGTAAGGCAACTTTTGCTTGGCGAACCGTTTACAGGTGAAACAAAATGTTGGCTCGGCTAGAAAGGTGAACCCCTAGTCGGGCAAAGTTTTCTCCATGATTATAAACACTTTGGCTCATGTAACCGGGTCTACTGGGTCAAGGAGAGACAATCAGTCAGTTAATCAGTCAGGACGGGAGAGGAAAGAAGACGGCATACCATCACAGGAAAAAATAACGGATTCCCATTTTTGGATATTTTAGGGTATTTAAAGAATACCCACAAAAATCCCAAATTTGGAAGAGTGAGACAAGTCCCAATCAGGGAACTTGGTTGGGAATTCCCTGGTTGTTTTAACCTATCGTTTTAATATGTTATGTATTTATTGGCAAGATCATGGATGGAGTTGTGATCACAGATATGAGGACCGCCGCAGCATCTGCTGTCGCTACCAAGGTATAGATAGACAGACGCATGTACCTCGGGTATCTGATTGAACATCAGCTTTGTAGCAAATGTGTTTTAAACTCTCCCTGCTCATGGGAGTCTCCTGTCTTTTGTGCATGGCTTACAAAATTTCTAGGTTTAAGTTGACTTTTTTAACGCTTTGCTTTTTCAAAGTTTTCCAAAATCTCACTGAATGTATTTTATTATTATTATTATTATTATTATTAATAAACTTATCCATATTATTAGAATCAGTGTGTTGACATTTATGGTATCCACTGGGACTTTTGACTTGATTTTTTTATAACTCTATGTGATTTCTTGGAATTTTGAATTGGGAAGGGGTTTTGCTGGAGTTTTGTTTTGATATTGATGTTTTCTTTTCATGAATATTTTACTGATGTTTTGTGGGCAGCTTTTTTTAAGATTTTAATAAAGTATATTGATTATTATTATTATTATTGTTGTTGTTGTTGTTGTTGTTGTTGTTGTTGTTATTATAGTACAGTTTTTCAGGGGCAGCATTTTCATATGTCACCAATCAGCCCTTCAAAATAATTCGGGGCTGTCGAGAACTTGAAATCATGTGGAATCGTCATAGATAGTGCACATGACTAATATTGGTTGGTAGGGTGGGCTTACAAAGGGGTAGGGAAACTGTTATTTAACTCATTAATGATAGTCAATTCAATTAATGCTAGTATGATATGCTCCACATTTATGTTTCATTTTTTTTCTAAATTATAGTACCTTGCTGCAAAGGATGCTAAAGTGTTGTGTATTTTAGGGTCTGGGGCCCAGGCCAGAAGTCATGCTCAGGCCCTTAAGCTTGTCAGACCTTTCTCTGAGGTACGTGCTAAGTTGACACTCTCTCTGAATAGTGAGGCTGGACATATTTTAGGTTGAAAACATAGGGGATTATTATATGGCTGCATGGGGATTTGAAATTTCTCTTTGAGTTTTGAAAAATATTTCACTTGTTCACTGCCCTCACCCATGAACTATCAATGAATACAAGTAGAGAAATTTTGTATGTCCAAGTGGCCATGTAATGTTCTATTTATATTATATATAGACCAATGAAAATATCAAATCATTTCAGTAATTAATTGATATTTTCTTCTACCAGCATGGCAATTATTGTTTTAAAAAGTAAAAAAATATTATAATATTTTAGTTAAATATAGTTATTCCAGACAAATCTTACTTTGCCCATACATATAAAAATTATCAGAATTTTAGCAAAGCCAAGTAAAATAAGTTATATATGCTTTGGCCATTAGAAATCAGTCCTCTAGACTCCCTATATAAAGCCATGACTGAATTAGGCTTTTAAGATTGCCATTGACTTTATATATCTTTGAAGGTTAGAGTATGGAGTAGAACTTTTGCCAATGCACAAAAGTTTGCTAATGAAATTGGTGCAAAGGCTTGTTCAACAGTGGAGGATGCAGTGTCAGGTGCTGATGTCATTGTGACTGCTACCATGGCAACCACTCCCATTCTGTGTGGAAAATGGGTCAAACCTGGAGCTTTGATCGACGGTGAGCCTATTTTGAGATTTATCACCATCTTAAAATTATGTTTTTCTTGCTTGGCTGAGCTTGCAAAAGAGGCAAGAAATGATCGAAGTTCCTCTCACACCAAATGGAACCGGGGAACGAGTTACATTTTTGTTCTTATTAGGTGATCAAGTTTTTGTTTCTTGCTGTACAGCTATGTGCAACAGCTTTTCTCGCCTTCTTGCCTTTTTGACAGTTCAAAAAAAAGTTTGTGTTAGTTTGACAGCAGTGTATCAGGTAGGTTCAGGAAGGTTTCTTTTTTCTTTTTTTCTTCTTTTTTTTTCCTTCATCTTTTGAAAATATTTTGTGATGGATGTGATTAAAGTGCTGTTGCGTTGTTCTGTGGCCGACAAATGCCATTCAGTGTGTAGAGAACAAACTAATATAGACCACTTGAGAACTTTTGAGACATTTAAATGCCCTTACATCGTATTCGCTAAGGAGTTTTAGACATGAAAGGTAGCTTAACTGAGCGTAGTTATTTCATGTTACAGAAAAAAACGTCTTGTCATGCATCTTAAAGGCCTGTTTCCATGGGTGATTTTTAGCGCAACTTGCGAGATCACCGTTCGGTGTTTCGAACCTGCTCAAATTGTGATGAGTAGCCACAAAATCCTACCTTGGATCTTGTGGCAGATAAATGTTTCAGTCGATCAGACCTGCTTTAGTGTAACCCTAGCCTGCGTCGCAGACGGAATCTAACTCCGGTTAGTAACGTCTGCAAAGCAACGCAGATATCCTTGTTCTGGGTCCCCAACGGACTCAACGAATTACCGGAAATGCGTTTCGAATTTCCCTTCAAACTGATTGGCAAATTGACAGTGGTTTTTTAACTGAGTACTCAAACCCTCGTACACAGATGGGGGGACTAGAACAAGGATTTTGGCGCTGTTTCGCAGAAGGGCTTAACAGAAGTTAATTTCCGTCTGTGGTTCAGGCTGTGTAACCCTTGCATCGTAGAGATTGCAAAAATAGCAATGTAATTACCAGGAAATCGCAATCAATCCTCTCTGCTGCTCAGCCCACAGGAAAAAAGAGGAGAGAATAATTTCCTCGATCGCCGTTAAAGTAATACCTTTTTGTTTAACCGATTGTGAACGGGCTTGCTAGGATTCAACAAGTAAGGCCCCATTAATACGGAGAAAACTTGTCTCGGGTAAAAGGGTCACTCCGCGCTGCAGTTGTCCCTTTCGTAAACGGTCGCTGCCATTTTTAAGACACTTAGAAAAATTTTGCCCGGACCTGTTATTGACAGTGTTTCTAGTAAGAGAAAGAAAATACAATCCACCCTGGGTTGTACCCGGACCTTTCGTATCCTAATCAGCCTAATCTCTCTCCCATACTACCACGCCGACCCACCAGAATTCCGAAGAATTTAAGTACATACACAAGCAAACTGTCTTTATTGCATCAATAACAAGTGACCCTAGCCCTTTTCATAACTTTTAACGGAAATTTAACTTGGGCTTCACGTCGCTCGTTATAAGACTATTCAAAACGTATTATTTGCCTCATTGTAATTTAATCCTGCGAATATACTACACCTATCGTCACTAAATGCTTGGTTACCAATTGTGGCATCGACCGTTTACGAAAGGGAAATAGGCATCGGCGCCTACCCGAGCTACTCTGGCCAAGGCTACTTTTGCTTGGCGAACCGTTTACACCTGAAACAAAATGTTGGCTCGGCTAGAAAGGTGAACCCGTAGCTGGGCAAAGTTTTCTCCATGATTATAAACACTTCGGCTCTTGTAACCGGGTCTACTCGGTCAAGGACAGACAGTCAGTCAATCAGTCAGTCATTGTTTAAGGTTATTAGGGCCATTTATACGAGGAAAAATAAGACGCGTCTTACATAAGACGCGAACTTTCTGTATAAACGGCACATTTCGTCTAAAATAAGACGCGGCTTAGCTAAGACGCGTCTTATAAGATAAGACATGCTCGTATAAATGGTATAGTTCGCGTCTTATTTAAGACGCGTCTTATGTAAGACGCGTCTTATTTTTCCTCGTATAAATCGCCCTATTGTGAGCTTATGTAACAGGACGGGAGAGGAAAGAAGACGGTAAACCTTGTGTGACAAGCGTGACAGTACTGAATTTTATTTGAAAAAAAAAACTTTCTGCCAAACCTCACCCTCCTTTAAACAGATCTTTTTGTCAAAGACCAAAAAACATAAATTTAAGTGAAGATCACGAAAGAACACATACTTAGTACTAAGTAGCCCTGTCACGTTTGTCAGACACAAACGTTTTGCCGTCCTGTAGCGTTAAACACACTAGGGAGCTTTAGCATCGACGACGGCAACGACAGCGAAAACGTCAGTGTTAAAATGAATTCCCGTTTTTTCAATCTTTGTCGCGTTTATTCCAATTTGCTGAAAATGGCAAGTGTAGGCGAATTTTCCTTGAGTTGATTTCTTGAGGACCGCACTCAAGTTTAGAGAGAGAAAAAGAGATTCCTTGTCGCTTGTTTACGTCTTCCATAAAACATGCAATTAGGCATTTTCACGTCCTAGTCGTGCAAGGACGGTAAAGAAATGTATAAAAAAGCGTGATGCACGTGCAAAGTTGTTGTTTTGCGTAATAAACTTATTGCTTTTTTGACGTCCTCGTTGCCGTCTCCGTCGTCGTTGCTAAAGCTCCCTAGTATTAACGGGGCTGGGAAGGTGACCCTTTTTCCCAGAACAACTTCTCTCCACTAAAAACCTACTTATTATAACACTATAGAAAATGATATTAAAGAATCTAATTCTCTCCACTTATTCAAAACGAAATTGAAAAAAAAAAATTATATATGAATTATTAGTTATAAATCTTGTAGTAAATAGTTATATTTCTTCCATGTCTGATATTATTTTTATACTTATTGTTACTTGTACCATACATAATTAGTTAATTTATACTTACCTTCATTGTATTTTGCTTTCGATCCTGGCCTTACCGTTACTGTTAACAAATAAAAATGAGACTCCCTCGGGTTGCAGATATTCGGAGTACCAAAGAAAAACCCGAAGGAGCGGTGAAAGTAAACGAAAACACATTGACAGAACAAAATAGCAATAAACATAAATGTGGTAAATCAAATAAAGTTACAAAGTTACAAAAACGTGGTCGCAGTGACTACATGCAAGATTGCACCATTTCCTTACACTTTGATGTTGCAGCTGTTGGTGCACCTCGTCCAACATGGAGAGAGCTTGATGATGAGCTTATGCAGAATAGTTTTATTGTAGCAGACAGCATTGAAGCAGCGCTGAAAGAAGCTGGGGACGTGATTCTCTCTAAGGTCAGTGGTAAAGAAGTCTGTAATAAAATACTGGAGGTGAACGCCGCTTAGAACTTCATTACGATTATTGCATCTCGTTCAATTTGCCAAATACAGGCGAATTTTTCTCGAGTTGAGTTCTTAACAACCGTATCCAAGTGCAGAAAGCGAAAAACAAAATCGTCGTTTTGTGTTTACTTTCTCCATAAAAAGTGAAATTAAGCATTTTTACGCCGTAGTCGTGCAGTGACGGCAACGAAAAGTAGCAACAAGTCTGTTGCACTAGCCCGGAGCAAACTCTCTGGGGGACGGCTATGGGGGGGGAGGGGGGCAGAGAGCTTGGGCTCCCCCGCCCCCAGAGCCCCAGAGAGAGCTTGTTTGAAGGCTTGTGATGCCCCACGTGTGCCCTCGTGTTTGAGTTCTGATAGAGAGCCCAGATATGAATGGACTCACATCACAATACTTGCATAAAAATGATTCAGGCTTGGCTCGCAGCGTTTTGCCGCTCGTGCCAAACTATCACCTCTTTGCTACCGACTCTCCAACAAGAACGCCTTCCAGTAGGCTATGATAGTATACCCTGAAGACAGCTTTCGTAATTTCCAAAAATTGAAATTTAAGAAAGAGTGCAAATTATTTTAATTTCATAAAACGCTGAAAAGTAGCCTGTGTAGCTTTTGTTTGTGAGCGCGCAAATGAGCGGCAAAGCTTCTTGCTGGTTTCCGCTCTCGTCGCCAACAAAACCGCTAGCTATTACACAGGCTACTGAAAGGCAAATAATAACACAGAAAGTACAAGGAGGGCTAACTCTAACATTAAAGCTTTGGGCAGGTATTTTGGGTTGCTTTTCTTCCATTAAGCAAATCTGTGGCAATGATGATTAGTATACATGATAATCATCATTATTGTTTAAGCTATTTTTGATCATGTAATGATCAGATGCCAGAATTATTATATATAATAATCTTTCTTCTTTTCTCTGCATTTTAAAGTCGTCAGTGTCAGGAGAAATTGGTGATGTGATTTCAGGAAAGCTCTCTGTTCCTGAAGGAAAAACAAAGATTTTTAAGTCGTTAGGTAAGTGACTGTGAAACTAAGTGGAACTGTAATCCGCTATGCTTACATTGAGGGCCGATAGTCTCAATGTGTGCTTATTCCTCATCCTGTAGATTCTTCATTAATTTAAAGTGATCAGTCGTCAACCTTTGCTCTTGCAGGAATGGCAGTTGAAGACGTTGTAACTTCTAAGTTAATTCTCAGCAAACTTGAAGAAACTAAAGCACCCAAACCAGGACTTTAGCCGTAACAGCCTTAGTTACTGTCATCTTCCGTCTTTAATGCATGAATGGTTTTATTTGACTAAATGAATGATGTCGAGTTCATTTCCTTCCCTCGATCGTTGAAGAGTCGTCTCTGGGTAACCGCTGTGAACGCTGAACTTGTTCCCAGAGATTGTAGCGATCATAGCAGCCTTTACTGTGGCCAAAAACGCACACAAGAATAAAATGGAATAGGACAATTAGGCAGCGTCACAGACACTCTAAACCGCCCGCAAAGTATAGAAATTAAGAAAAAGAACACATTTATCAGTTGGTGAAAATACTTAACAATGATGAAGTATTTAACATTTTTTCATTTATAATAAAATAAGACAACTTCAAACTTCATATTGGTTACTAGTGTGTCAAGTTAGTCAAGGTATAAAGTATGCTCTTAATTTGTCCTATTAGAGAAAAACAGCCGCAAAAGGCTTCTTCGTTGCCAATGCGGCTTTTTTTTACATTTATCGGCGGCTCTGATGTACACTTCAGGAAGAAGATAACTGTATACAAAACGATCACAGTTTATCAATGCAGAGTTTTAATTGAAAGCGTTCTAAAACTTGTTGTACAACCTATGTATCTTTAATGAAAGCGACATTTTACTACATTTTACCACCTATTAATGCTAGTTGCGGTACGTCTATTTTACAACGTTACTATAAAAACGGAAACAAACAATTAAAAGTAAAGAAAGCCGTAAGAGAAGCTGCTCTTGTTCTCCTCGGTGGTCAGTTTTCGGTGGCAACTTTTTTCTCGATCTGCGGGGAAGACGTCTCGGGCGTCGATCTGCAGTAGTTAACCACCCATGCTCGGTCCCTATGAATAGAAAGATAATTTTAGTGAGTAGACTGGTAGTTGCTTTTCTGCCTCTTTTAAAGTTTTAGTGTTGCGCGATATTGTCGTGGCGTTTGTTCAAGTAGAACAAGGAAAGAAGAAGATTTTGTCACAAAAGGATCAGTTATTCTAAAGAAACTCGTGGTATTTGACGCCAAAACGCTTTACATTTTGGAAATCTCGTTAAAAAAAAAACAATAAAAGGAACTGTAAGCTAACCGATTCATTGAACATTAATTCTCGAATTATTATTATTATTATTATTATTATTATGTAATAATAATGTCTTTATTATGTTTTAGGCAAAAAACCATGCATATACCAAGAACACGAAAAGCTTAAAATTACGTCATGAAATACTAAAATTAACATTAAAAAAATAAAAAAACATTTTACATTAAATTGCTACTTTATATTTTTTTCTAACGCTGGTTTTTGACCCCATGGAGCTCTGAGGTGCACAGAAATTTCTTTTGTTTTGGGGAGGGAAGGATGCAAAGTGGCACGTGATCTGTCTCTTCTCAGACGTCATATATGTTAACTTGGTAAGATATGTATTTGTGTTTAAAGCAGCGCTGCGAATATTTCTAGACCGTTGTTAATTCAGGTGTTGAGGACACGTATAAAGGAAGAGCGTAAGTTAAGTTTCGGTGAAACTATTGATATAAAAACGTAATCTATATCTGGTTGTTGGTATCCCTCTGTACGTAACTTATCACAGGTAACCCCTATCACTTTTAAAGAAGAAGCTTGGGTGTGTTGTTCATATGGACTATATTATGGGCTGCCTTCTTACAAAGTATCAGTTCATTGCATTTTTAGGAGACTTTTAGGATAACATGGAATGACAGCCTTATGTTCACCAGAAAAACTGCGGACAACCTCATGAGAAAAATCTATTTCATTGTAACATACTTTGACTTGCAGGGTAGGTACTGTCATCAGCACATTTGTCGGACTATGCTAGTGACGTGACTGTTCTTAATGGCCATTAATAAACAAATTTAAAAGGTGAGGTCCACTAACACTTCCCTGCGTGGTTCCTTTGTTCATGCATTTATAGGTAACGCCCTTAAATATTAGTCGCTGTTTCCTATCCATTAGAAAGCTTAAATACCAGTTCACAACATATTACATTTTATAGAGGAAGAGCCTTTTAATAACTTTTCCCCAAACAATGAGTGAGGGATATCTCTGTAAAGAATCGTTTTATAACAATTCAGGAGTGGATGCATGAACTTCCCCCATCTTTCAGTCAAGTAGTCCGGTTGAATTCACCTGCGATCAGGCGTTTTTTTTTTTTCTTTTTCGGGGAAAAAAAGAACATCCTTTTCCCTCATCTCCCAAACAAGAGGGAAGAAGGACACCTGATCTCAGGTTAAGTGGGTCTCAGATACGTCACCAAGATGCATTGACCGAGAAGGCCTTGGAAGATCAGAGGCCTCACGGAGACTCCATTTTGTTGGAGGTTCTCTGTTAGGACAGCTTGTCCTCTCCACCTATTCAGGAAAGGGGACTTCTTCCAGTCTAGTGAGCAAACAAATGACCATGACTTCTTCATGAAAGTGGGGCTAATGATGTGTAGTACCTTTTCTCGCTGTTGAAACAGCTTGAGATGCCAGTGATGTAAAACCTTTTGTCCCTGTCCACCTTGTACTCAAAGTCCTCTCCAGCTTTGTTCAAATGGTGTGACTGATGGCAGTCCGTGTGATCAAATCCCTCGTCGTTGCAGCATTTGAACTTATAGCGCCGATCACCGCTAACGTAGATACTCTGAATTCCTGGACAGGTAAAAACAGAACAGAATATTTCAGGCATGACGATAATTCTGCTTAAATGCCACAATGCGAGGTTCAAGTCTTAACCTGAATGTTTACCGTACCCCTCTACGGTCGTTCTTCTGTCGATCAAATCTATACTAATGCAGTTTAAATTCCCACAAACAGCTAGATTGTTCAGAATGGAAATTTCGAATCAGCAGAGGGCCTGTTATTCGTCGCCTTTGCGTCGAAACCAAGAGAGGAAGAACAGTACTTCGTGGAAAGAAGCAAAATTCCCAGGCAGTGATACAGTGTAGACATTTCAGGGTGCCCCTCCCTAAGTTCTTCAAAGGTCCCCACCCCCTTCCCCCCTCCCCATTCGTCTTAATTTGTCGCCTCTATGCATGGTTGAAGGCCTTACCTGATATAAAACCATTATTGGGACAGTCGAAGAAAATGCCATCTTTTGCATCGTTGGCGTATCCATGACTCCAGTGACAAAATTCTTTGGAAGCCTCGTTGAACCCACAGTCGAATTTCCAAAGTCGGTCTTGCTGGCAGTTACGGAACACACTCTTCATGTAAGTTAAAGAATGACCTGCAAGAATGAATAAAAGCGAAAACTTCGACGCGAGTTTAAAGAATGTCGGTTTTATTTTGTACACCCACAGTACCCAGGACAGTTGACCAGCAAGCTGTAGCTTCCTCAGCCTCTTCCAGGCTCTCAGATTATGGGGAAGACGCGAAAGAAAAAGGCGCGCGAAAAGTTTGAGAAACCTAGCGAATAAGACGGATTTACAACTTTCTGTCCACTTTTTTTTCTTTTTTAATAGTGACATCCCGCATTGCCATTCTAAAAAATTGTAAAGTAAAGTACTCTATTTGGAAAAAAAAAACTTTTGAAGATTAAAAGTTTGAGAAATAACCAGTTTTTTCAAAACGCTCGAAATGCAGTCTCAGAAACACCTAACCCGTCACCCCCGGCCCCTCCCCCGCCTCGTTCGGTCCGTCTCCTCTTTGGATCGCACCTCCCCGTAAAAAATTCTGGCTACGGACCTGTAACGGAATGCATAATTTGTTTATTTTAAACTTTTATATGCCTTACCCTTGGGACAATCAAAAAACAGCTTGCCATGCCAGGTATTATCCCATTTGATGTCAGTTGGCCTTGCTGTAGAACAGGCTTGTGCAGTGCTGGGCGGCTTCTTTGTTGTTGGTTTACGAGTGGGGTATGGCCTACGGCTGGGGTAAGGCCGTCGGCGATACCGTCGTCTATACCTGCTCCTCCGGTACCTGCTCCTCCCCCACGGAAGTGGATCATGTTGAACGGGGTGTTCGTCCTGATCATCATCATCGTCCACGATTTGGTCCTCGTTGTCAAGGTCCTCATCAACCTCGGGGTCTATATCGGCAAGGACGGACTCACTCTCTTGCTGTTCAATTTTAGGTTCCATTCGTTTTTCTCCAAAAACGCATGTTAGTGCCAAAACCACAACCAACGTTAATACAGTAGGTGCTCGAATCATTGTCTCCTAGATCCAGGAGGAAAACGCCAAAGTATTCTAAAAGGAAATCATTGCTACTGTTATGTTATTTTCACCCCATTCTCGTACCCCTGAACGTCGAGATTCTATTGGACATGAAAAAAAAAAAAAAAACAGATAAGAGAATCGCGTTGGTGATGTAACCCACAAAACAAGTCTAGGAAAATCACACTTCGGACCTGACGTTATTTGCTCATGCCAAGAGCCATTGTGGCTTTTGCGCATGTGTGATCTGTAGTAATATACGCCCGGCCAAATAAACATTTTTGGATTACGGGGTATCATGGCTGGGAATTAAAGGGACAGGTTCACGGCTAAGCGCATGCTCAATAATTAAATTCCTTTTTTCCAATTTATTATTAATTCCTTCGGTTAATTTGATCCCACTCACACTTATCTCAGCGATCTCAGAGTGAATTTCAAAGTAGCATTGTATTTCCGAGTAACCTGAAGTAGGATGGAGGAGTACTAAAATCGCAGAACAAATTAGTGGATTATGCCAACACTATCAACGTTGAATTTATTGTTGACCCGAAGGTTTTATTCCACGGTTGATTAATTTAAAGCTATTCGCAAATATTTAAGTTCATCTAGTGCAAGTGACTGCCAGGGGAGTGTGCAGATTTGTTCTTTGACGACATTATGACATGATCATATTGCTTGCTTAGACTATACAGCAGGCCCGGCAGAAAAACAACATTTTGATGAGCATGCGCTGAACTGTGAACCTGTCCCTTTAAACAATTACCAAAGAAACAAAAGAATCAGGACTTTGCAAGTAATTTCAGAGGGTACACCTTCATTACTTTTCTAGAACTGTCAACCAAAATAAACATTGTC